TGAGTTTTTGGGCGACGGAACAATGGAATTACCGAAAAAAGGGCTCAAAGTGGGCGAAAACGCCGTTTTTAAATATTGCCGAGGTTGCTAACTTTGCGAAGCATAATCCGTCAGTTTCCCTAAAAATTTTATTTTTTTTTTTTTGTCATTACAATCGGGAAAAAATTCTCTATCATTTTTATAAAAAAAATATTTTTTTTTTTTTTTAAAAATTTTTGGGAAAAAGGGGAAATATTTTTTTTTTTTTTTTTTTTTTTTGGGGGGAAAAATTTTTTTTTTTTTGGGGGGTTCTTTTTTTTTTTGGGTTTTTTTTTTTTTTTAAATTTTTTTTTTTTTGAAATTTTAATTTGGGGGTTTTTTTTTTTTTTTTTTTTTTTTTTTATTTGGGTTTTTTGGGGTTTTTTTTTTTTTTTTTTTTTTTTGTTTTTTTTTTTTTTTTGTTTTTGGGGGTTTTTTTTTTTTTTTTTTTTTCCTTTTTTTTTAAAATGCATGGAACCTTGGTTTTTTTTTTTTTTCTGTTTCTTTTTTGCCTTTTTCAAAAATTTTTTTCCCATTTTTATTAAAATTTTTTTTTTCAAAAATTGGGGCCCCAATAGCCCCCCCTGCCCCCCCCCAAAACACCCCCGTTTATGAGTCAGTCGGGTTTTGTTTCTTCATAAGCATTACCCTACAAGCCCCAAAAACATTTCGTAAAAACCCAATTATTTTTTTTCCCTTTTATTGAGTGGGGAAATTTTAAAAACCAAAAAATCCTTTGAAAAAGGGGAGAAACAAAAAAATAAGAAAAATAGCAAAGTACGAAAGAGGAATAGTTGAAAAGTTTTGTAGGAAATATCACTATCCCCCTCAAAAAAGGGGGGGTTTATTTTAGGGGGAGGGGTGATTTTGGGGGGGTTTTGTAGGGGTAGGGGTTTCCCCCCCTCCTCCTCCCTCCTCACAAACTTCCTATGCCAACAAGAGTCTTCAATAAAGGTAAAAGTGATGTTAAATTTCATTTATTCATTTCTTATCCTTTTTAATTTATTTTTTCATTGTTTTTCTCTTGTAAAAAACATGTTATTTTCTATAAATTTTTTTTTTGTCAAAACCTTTGGGGGGTCCTTTTAAAGGATTAATTTTTGGATTTATATTATTTTTTATGGGGGAAAAACTGCTTCCGTTTTTCGTCGAATTCGGTTTTTTTGTCAGACTTTCTGGAACGAATTAATGACAAAAAAAGAGGTTCCACTGTAATAATGAAAACTGATTTTTCCAAGAATTTTTCTTTTCAACAAAATTTTTTACATGGAAAAACTACAGCATGCAAGATTTTTTGGGGAAATTTTAAATATGAGTACTACTAAAGACACAACATATTGTAAAGTAAATGGGCACAACGCAATTTTAAGTGCATTTTTTTGTGGGAATGTTTCGCTCTCCAGGAGCTTGTCAAGGCCTTACTAACAGCTTGACAAAGCCCTGGAGAGTGAAACGTTTGCCACAATAAAATGCCACATTAATGAAAAATTTGGGGGTAAATGTACCCCCCCCCTTTAAAAAAAATCAATATGAGAAAGGCGTCTTTTGGAGAAATAAAAAAAAAGTGCCTTCCTTTTATTGAAAAAAATGATAAAAGGGGGCCTATTACAGGTCGGGTAAAACACAATCCGGCAATCGTTTATCCCGTTCCACGTAATCCAGCACAATTTCGGTTTTGCATAATTTTAAATTTCATCTTATACGACTCAAATAAATATACTTTATTCAAATTTCAAACTTATCTGACTCAGAACAACCCAGTTTTATAAAGTTTAAAAAAATGGGTTGCTTTCTGTTGATTAGTGGGATTAAAGTAAATTGTGCGAGAATTATATAAAGCGTGAAACCCGGAGAAGGAGGAAAAAGGGAGGAGAAGTTTTGGGGATGTTAATAAGAAGGGGCCGAAAAGTGGGAGTTTGTGGTAGGGGCCGGGGAATCAAATAGGAGAAATTTTAGAAGGTGGGGTTAGGAAAGTTTGGGGGTGGGCCAGGGTAAAGAAATGGAGCCCCTTTGATTAACTTTTGGGAAAAAGGGTTTTAGTTTAAGGTAATAAAAATTTTAAGAAAAGAGGATAATAAGTAAATTTTCCGATTGATGTAGGGCGAAAAAGACATAGTTTTTTGGATAAGGGGGGCCACAGATAATCAGATACTTTCTAGTTGTAGCTAACTGAGAGAAAAAGGTAGATGGGATAAAAAGGAGAATAGAAGCATCGGGAAGAGAGGTGAATTTTTATAAACAAAAGGGGAGGCAGTTGGGGGTAAGATATAAACACTATTGAGGATAATGGGCTAATAAGAAAGGGCAAGGGGGGAAAGAGGTATGGGGTAGGTTAAAAAAGTGTGTTAGAGTGTTCAGCAGAATTTTGTGGTTACGGGAAAGGGTGCAGGAGGGAAAAGAGGAGCGTTTGGGTGGAATGATGATGTAAAGAAGAGAAGGGAAAAAAGTTAGCATATGAGAATTTTTTAACAAAGTAAAGTGATGCAAGGGGGGAAGAGTATATGGAGAAAAAAGAGAGAATTTTAAGGAGTGTGAAGAAATGTAAAAGAGAGAAAAGGGAAGAGTGGGTGAGTGTTATCAACAAATTTTTTTGAAAAAAAAAAAGTTTTGGAGGAGATTAACAAGTTAAAAAAAGCCTAGAGAACAAATGGATTTGTCATTAAAAATGGGAAGGGAGATTATTAAATGGAAGTTAAGGTTTTGGGGAAGATGGAAAGGGAAATTTTTTTGAGAATTTTTTAAAATGTTGAAAAGATGGGAAAAGCGTGATTTCGGTATAGGGAAAGGGAGGAATAAAATCTTTTAGGAGTGAGGAAGAGCCATTTTGTATTTGGGGGGAAGTTCGGGAGCGTAGTAAAATGAAAGGGGGTAAGGCAGCCGGGATTTATGGGGGTAAAAATAGAAATTTAAAGCAGGGGGGGGGATATAGTTTTGGAGTGGTTGGTGCAATTTTTTTAATAAAAGTATGGAGAGGGTAAGGGACCCAGGGGTTGGCAAGGGGCATGCATATTTCCTTTTTATAAAGGCAAAGGGTAAAAGAGAGTGCAAAAATTATAGGGGGGATAAGTCTGTTGAGTTATGGTAAAGTGTATGGTAGAGTTAAATTGAAAGAATAAGAGAAAGCGGAATAGGATAGCAGATGAACAAGGAGGCTTTAGGAAAGGTAGGGGGTGTGTGGACCGGGTGTTTACAGTGAACATATAAGTGAACGTATTTAGATAAGGTTTAAAGAGGTCTTTGTGGCATTTTATGGATTTGGAAAAGGCGTATGACGGGGTGGATGGGGGGGGCAATGTGGCAGATGTTGCAAGTGTATGGTGTAGGAGGTAGGTTACTGAAAGCAGTAAAGAGTTTTTACGAGGATAGTGAGGCTCAAGTTAGAGTATGTAGGAAAGAGGGAAATTTTTTCCAGTAAAAAGTAGGCCTTGGGACAAGGATGTGTGATGTCACCGTGGTTGTTTAATATATTTATAGATGGGGTTGTAAGAGAAGTAAATGCGGAGGGTTTTGGAAAGAGGCGTGGAGTTAAAAGATAAAGAACCCACACACAAAGTGGGAGTTGTCACAAGCTGCTCTTTGCTGATGACACTTGTGCTCTTGGGAGTTTCTAAAGAGAAGTTGCAGAGAGGGTGGATAAATTTTGGGTTTAGGGTTTTGCAAAAAAAGAAAATTAAAGGTGAATACAGGAAGAGTAAGGTTATGAGGATAACAAAAAGATTAGGTGATGAAAGATTGAATATCAGATTGGGAGGGAGAGAGATGGAGGAGGTGAACGTATTCAGATTATTTGGGAGTGGACGTGTCAGCGGATGGGTCTATGAAAGATGAGGTGAATCATAGAATTGATGAGGGAAAAAAGGGTGAGTGGTGCACTTAGGAGTCTGTGGAAACAAAGAACTTTGTCCTTGGAGGAAAAAGAGGGAATGTATGGAGTAAGTTTTACCAACGCTCTTATATGGGTGTGAAGCGTGGGTGATGAATGTTGCAGCGAGGAGAAGGCTGGAGGCAGTGGAGATGTCATGTTGAGGGCAATGTGTGGTTTTGAATATAATGCAGAAAATTCGTAGTTTGGAAGTTAGGACGGAGGTGGGGGGATTACCAAAAACTGTTGTCCAGAGGGTGAGGAAGGGTTGTTGAGGTGGTTCGGACTTTGTAGAGAGAATGGAGCGAAACAAAATGACTTCAAGAGTGTATCAGTTGTAGTGAAGGAAGGGGGGTAGGGGTCGGCCTAGGAAGGTGGAGGGAGGGGGGTAAAGGAGTTTTTGTGTGCGAGGGGTTTGGGGACTTCCAGCGGGGCATGCGTGAGGGGTGTTTGATAGGAGTGAATGGAGACAATGGTTTTTAATACTTGACGTGCTGTTGGAGTGTGAGCAAAGTAACATTTATGAAGGGATTCAGGGAAACCGGCAGGCCGGACTTGAGTCCTGGAGATGGGAAGTACAGTGCCTGCACTCTGAAGGAGGGGTGTTAATGTTGCAGTTTAAAAACTGTAGTGTAAAGCACCCTTCTGGCAAGACAGTGATGGAGTGAATGATGGTGAAAGTTTTTCTTTTTCGGGCCACCCTGCCTTGGTGGGAATCGGCCGGTGTGATAATAAAATAATAATACTGACTCAGAAATTGTACAGATGGTTGTAAGTCCACAGCAGCAAGCCAGTGGAGGAGAAAGCAGTGATGAAAATGAGGAAGATATAGCAGAAAGTGTCAGTTCACCTGTCAGTTGACAGGTGAACTGCTAAAAGGTCTAGAGCAACACAGTTTTATAAGTGAACAAGAAATAATGAATGTTTACATGCTGCAGGATAAGCTAATCAAAGAAAGGCTAAAATATAAGTGTATTCTAACCTAACCTCTCTGTAATCTGGCAACACTAATCTGGCACACTACAGGTCCCAATGATGCTGGATTAGTGATGGCCAACCTATATACTGAAAATGATGAAATCAGTTTTAGCAGTATCATCACTAGGCCACAAGCTCTTACCTTTCCTCGGCAGACAGCCAAGAAGCATGCCCCTTTCTGTGAGGGATCATTGATTTTTTGGTAGAATTCCTCCATTGCACTATTGAATTCGTCCTTTGTCTGAGGTTCAACAAAGATGGGCTATAGAGAAAAGAGTGCAAAATTAAAAACTTTATCCAGCGATGTTCAAAACATTTAACGCCAATTCCTTTAGCTAAGTGTAAAAAAAAAATCCTATTCAATTTCATACATACACTCAGTAGCCACATCATTAGGTACACCTGCTCATTAATGCAAATATCTAATCAGCCAATCACATGGCAGCACCTTAATGCCTAAAAGCATACAGACATAATTTAGAGGTTTGGTTGCTGTTCAGACCAAACATCAGAATGGGGGAAGAAATGCGATCTAAGTGACTTTGACCTTGGAATGGGTGCTGGTGCCTGTGGCATGTAAAGAGTACGTAACCTTTATTCGGCGCATGTACACACCCTCATTGAAAGGCTATCTCTCTCAACTAGCAAACCAGGTGCTAAGGGTTAATGATGGGGCCCCATCTTTCAATCAGTACCCAGGTTCCAGCCAATGAGATGATGGTTTTGGCAATCGTAGAGGTGTTGTGGGTACCAAACACCTGTCTGCCCTTGTCATTCCCATTCTAGAGCTGGTTGAAGCACGGTCTGCTCTCGAGGGGCTTCTATTCTGCCGTGCTTACCGTGGAGTGCACTAATACCTATTGTTGTACATAGTGTATATAGTGTACATACTTCTGTTGTAAATTGGTGAAGTATAATACAAGCCAAAAGTTTTTCTGCTGTGTTTATTTTGCTCCCTTTACACCCAGGATAACAGGCCTTTGGGACTCCTGGGTTGTAATAGTGCCAGAGAAGGTGGTTGGTATATATCAGAAACTTCCGATCTCCTGGGATTTTTAGTCAACAGTTTCTAGAGTTTACAGAGAATGGTGTGAAAAACACAAAAAATCCAATGAGCAGTAGTTCTGTGGCTCAAAATGCCTTCATAATGAGAGAAGTCAGAGGAGAATAGCCATAACCGAGAGAAATGAGACAGCAACTAAACCACACATTACAACAGTAGTATGCAGAAGAGCATTTCTGAATGCACAACACATCAAACTTTGAAATGAATGGGCTACAACAGCAGATCACACCAAATTCCACTCCTGTCAGCTAAGAGCAGAAAATTGAGGCTACAGTGGGCATAGGCTCACCAAAACTAGACAGATGAAGATTGGAAAAAAACGTCGCCTGGTCTCAAGAATCATGGTTCCTACTGTGATATGCACATGGCAGGGTCAGGATTTGGCATAAACAATATGAATCTATGGATCAATCCTGCCTGTGCTACCGACAAATCTGAATGTACAGCTGACAAATCTAAAGCAACTGTGTGATGCTATCATGTCAATATCGACCAGAACCTTGCTGAATCCATGCCACAAAAAATTCAGTTGTTCTGGAGCAGAGGGGTGTGCCTAATAAAGTGACCACTGAGTGTATAATGTTTTTCACTAAATTAAGATAAACAAATAAATTTTAGATTAACCAACCAACATTTTAAAACATGCATATAACTCTAGAGATGGCAAAAATTTTGAAGTCCCTTAGTAATACAGTACTATAATTTAAAATAAACTGTAACCTTTGCTTATCTTTTCTTGTAACCATAAATGCTATAACAAAACTTCCACAACTAAGCTACTGGCAGCCACAATGATGATCAAATATAAAAACTGAATCTGTAAATTTCTACTAATGCAGTAGCAAACCATCTGTCTCAAAAGCCACTTTTCTGGTCCACTAAAATCATGATAAGTGAGCATTCACTGTAATATTTTCTAAATTGGAACACAGTTTATACCATGGATAAAAACTTTATATTTTAGCACCATATTATTTTAATTTAGTCATGAAAAATGCTATCAGCAACCTTCATCAGCTTAATTTATTATTGGTACAGTGGAACTTCTACTTATGATCGCATCCACGTGCAAGTTTTTCCAGATAAAAGTAGTCGCTCAGTCGATTTTTTGCTTCCAGACTCGAGCGAAATTTCCAGATGCGAGCAGCCTCAAGGGAAGTTCCTTGATGCTGGTGAGGGGCTCTTGTTCTTGATCTAGGGAACTAGATCTCAGTTGTTTGTTGGACTGTCTTATTGAAACTTGGGCAATGTATGATGGAAAGATGCTTCTTAACATACACCAAAAATGAAAGAAATCGGACCATAAATAACGGAGTTCACTTTTCAGCCACAGCCTCCTCTTAGCAAATAACAAAAAAAGGCACAATACCGTGACTGGAACGATACACAAATAACCTGCACATAGAAGAGAGGAGCTTACGACGACGTTTCGGTCCGACTTGGACCATTTACAAAATCGGACCGAAACGTCGTCGTAAGCTCCTCTCTTCTCCCCTTAGCAGTATATTCTCGCTTTTTTGGTCTCATTTGATAGAATGAAAGACATACTACAGAAATAGACATGATTTTGATTGGTTTCACGACAAAAAGTACCTTGAAACTGAGCTCAAAGTAGCAGAAATGTTAGATTCTTTGGCGATGCTCAAGAGTAAAGAAATGACATCACCCTCCAATACCTGTCCGATTGGCACTGCCCCTCAACCTTCACATGTTGAAAAGTTCTTCAACACGCTAGCAAAAGTGGGAGTAGACATCATGAGGTAGCAGTGGCAGACAACATGAAGCAGCAGTGACAGACATGAAGCAGCAGTGGCAGACATCATGAAGCAGCAGTGGCAGACATCATGAGGTAGCAGTGGCAGATATGAAGCAGCAGTGGCAGACATCACGAGGTAACAGTGGCAGAAAACATGAGGTAGCAGTGGCAGACAACATGAAGCAGCAGTGGCATACATCATGAGGTAGCAGTGGCAGACAACATGAAGCAGCAGTGGCAGACAACATGAGGTAGCAGTGGCAGACAACATGAAGCAGCAGTGGCAGACAACATGAAGCAGCAGTGGCAGACAACATGAAGCAGCAGTGGCAGACATCATGAAGCAGCAGTAGCAGACAACATGAAACAGCAGTGGCAGACCTTGTTGTACCCTATCCTATGAGTTTCCGAACGCCACCACAAGATAGCAGTATGTATCAAAACAACGCTCAGTCCACTCCACTCGCAGTGAAGGGCGTTCTCATGTTTTCCTTACGTTTCGTGCAGTTATTTTGTGAAATTTCTCGTTTCTAACTATGGGTCCTAAGAAAGCAAGTGCAAAGGACAGTGCTGAAAAGAAAAAGAGGATGATTTCCATGAAATTAAAGCAGGAAATCATGAATAAACAAACTAGGTGGAGGGTTAAGGACTTGGCCAGGCAGTACCAGCATACCACTTCTACAATATGTACAATACTAAAGCAGAAGGAGTCAGTGACAAAGTGTAGCATTAAGAGTGTAGCAATTAAATGTAGCATTAAGAGTGTAACAATTAAGTGTAGCATTAAGAGTGTAACAATTAAGTGTAGCATTAAGAGTGTAGCAATTAAGTGTAGCATTAAGAGTGTAACAATTAAGTGTAGCATTAAGAGTGTAGCAATTAAGAGTAGTATTAAGAGTGTAGCAATTAAGTGTAGCATTAACCCTTTGACTGTTCAGGCCCCTTTCTGAAACTGTCATTCTATGTCGCTCAATTTTTGAAAAAAAAAAAAAAATTATTTTTCTTATGAAATGATAGAGAATCTTTTCCCGATGGTAATGACACCAAAAGTTCGAAATTTGGTAGAAAACTCATGGAATTATGCTCCCGCGAAGTTAGCGGTCTCGGTGACATATTGGCGATTTTGCCGATTTGAGCCCTATTTTCAGCCAATTCCATTGTTCCAGTTGACCAAACTCATAGCTATTTCTTTAGAACTCCATTTTATCTATCAGCTGAGTACAAGAAACCTTCCATTTACTAATTTGGACTACCCAATATGGTGGTCAGAAATTGGCAATTTGGCCAATTTCACGCAAACTAAAAAAGATGCCAATTTCAAAACAGGGTCCAGAATAAACAAGGTAGACATTCGTGGCACTAAAATAACATATGCTCTGCTCATTAGTCACATCTCTAGGCCCCTCTTATATTATTATTGCTTTCCATTTTGATTTTTTATTCATACAAAAAAATACAAAATTTACTGTTATGCAGACTACTGCATTATTGTAAAAATGGTATAAATAATATCAGTGCACTAGTGAAAGAATATTATACTCCCCAGTTGACATGTATTGGACGTGTGGTGTGATTTATTTACTCCTGAACATTGGTAAAAATCGAACATTTCCGCTACTTTGAGCTCAGTTTCAAGGTCATTTTCATCGTCAAAGTAATGAAAATCATCTCTATTTCTGTAATATGTTTTCCATTTTATCACCTAAGACCATGAAAACGCGAATACAACGATAAATACTATACGAAAATACACCTCAAAGTCGGCGTTTTATTCCAAAAAAACGATCAGAGTTTTTTTTTTCTCATTACGCAATGTGTGCTGCAGGATTTTTTTTATGTGGTGCACACTGACCACACAGACCCATTCTCTCACATGTGGACCTACCAGCTTTCTCCCGCTTGATTTGAAGCCGCTAGAATTATTGAGTATATATACGTCAGAAACATTGGCTCGTAAGACGTATTTATACGTCGAAAACAGTCAAAGGGTTAAGAGTGTAGCAATTAAGTGTAGCATTAAGAGTGTAGCAATTAAGTGTAGCATTAAGAGTGTAGCAATTCAGTGTAGCATTAAGAGTGTAGCAATTAAGTGTAGCATTAAGAGTGTAGCAATTAAGTGTAGCATTAAGAGTGTAGCAATTATAAGTCACTCTGTTTGACTTTTTTGGGTTATCCTAGGTTCTCTACACATGTAGTCAGGAGCAGGAATGGCAGTTGTGGTGGCCCTAAAAACCCCAACAGCAACAATGGCCGCTGTCACCACCACTAGCCACATACATAATAACATGTATTTTATTAATTCTAGTGTATATATTATGTTTCTATGTTATTAATATTGTGTAGTTTTAAAAATAGGTTGGATAAATACATGAGTGGGCATGGGTGGGTGAGTTGGACCTGACTAGCTTGTACTCCTCCCTTAAGCGACGTGTCTGACCTCACTAGGTCAAGGCATTGGCTTAAGCCGGTGGGAGAATTGGACCTGCCTTGCATAGGCCAGTAGGCCTGTTGCAGTGTTCCTTCTTTCTTATATTAGATAAATTGTGATAGATAAATAAGCCGTAGAGTTGATATTAGGGAAATTATTGAAGTATTTTGTCGCGTCTGGAATTCCACTGGAACGGATTAATTCCATTTCAATTAATTTATATGAGGAAAACTGACTCTGCAAATGAGCAAATCCAGATGCGAGCAAGGTCAGGGAACAGATTAAACACATAAGTAGAGATTCCACTGTATCTGTCTGATTAGCCAGACTTGAGTCCTGGAGGTAGGAAGTACAATGCATGCACTCTAAAGGAGGGGTTGGGATACTGGCCATTTGGAGTGACATCTAAACTGTCATATCTGGGCACCTCTGCAAAGACAATGATTATGTGTGAAATGATGGTGAAAGTGTTGAATGATGGTAAAAGCATTTCTTTCTTTTTTGGGTCACCCTGCCTTGGTGGGAGATGGCTGACATGTTAAAAAAAAATGCAAAAGGTCTGACCAGAATGTGAACTGGTTAGGTGGATTAAATCATTTTTATGGGAAACAAATCCAGGAAATCTGAGATACCATTCCCTTCCTTAGATCAAATCAAACCTGATTACCTCACATTTCCCCAAGTGCTATAGAAACCTAATGTGCATAGTGCTTCCCCATAAAATAATATACACGTATAGAAGTTTCATTTATTTCATAGGTTTGCTCTTTAGATTCCATCTTTTGTATTGAAATGTCAGTGTAATGTTACTTCTCTATAGCTTGTGATGCTGAATGTTAAGTTAATAAATACAAAGTTAAAACTTTAATTTGTATGTAGTACTTACCACTGCATTTATAAGATAACAGTACATAATACAATATGATAAAAGGTACTACAAAATAAAGTACAACTAACTAACTTTAAGAATGACATACCATACCTTTCCCACTGATATCTTACTCCAAATGCCAGAGTTCTGCCATTCATCCCTACATGACCTCATTATTGGGTATGAGGGGAAAAATACCAACAATCCATCGGGGATAATTCTTGAGAAATTGAGGATAGTTTGACCCAGTGAGTTTATATATCGTGGATCACTCCTGGAAAAAGAAAGTATTTAGTAAGTCTGAATAACTGACCTTGCTTATTTATTAAAACCACAATAACAACTACAAAAACAGGTCAAAAAAAGAATCAGTGATGCTACTGCCGAAGACTTGCTGCGCTATTTGACTGGGTACTGAAACAGTGAGAGTGAAACCACTACATCATGCCAGGAGAATCCAAGGCCATGGCCTTGGATTATTCTGTCCTATGTCAGGACCTATCTGATATTTGTGACCCAGCTGGGTAAAATCCCACCAACACTGATCTTGATGCTTAGGAGCCTGCAGGACACAATGACAAGGAAGCTCTATCAGGAAGATTATGGCAGAGAGTATTTATGGCAACATTATCCTAGAGAGAAGTATACAGGATGCTATTTCAGTAAATAAACACTTAATGCAGCAAAGATTTATTGGTACAGCGTCTCACCTACAAGCAGGCTTTATCACCCACTCATGAAAGAAACATTATACAGTACCAGCTTATACCAGTTAAGCCCTCACTGCATCGTGTCTATTTACCACTTGTCAGCATTACACTTTCATTTAATACATGACTATTTTTGTGATATTCAAACTGTCAATTAGTATCTTTTGCATTTACCCTAACCCATATTTGCCAATTGGTGAGAGTTTGTTGTCAACTCTTACTAGTATCTGATTCCCTTTTCAGGGTTTTATTCTTATATCTTCCCACTTATATACCAATGCACTGAGCATTTAATAAGCAATCCTCATTATTCCCACACATTCTTGTTTTTCAGTCCACGTAATTGGAAACTACTCAACATGTGATGGCCAAACTATTAAAATTTTTAAAGCATTTCCAGAAACACAGGAAAGTCTCCGCCAACGATTAATATTGCATAATGTTGTAGCTGCCATAACCTAAGTAAGTCAAGTTTTGGGAGATAAACTAATTTGAGAACCAAAAATATATCATTCCATATTTTCTTTACATTGCATTTAGCATTTATACATATTCAGCTCAAGTGCTACTGAGCAACCAGAAAAAATATTACTAAAGTGAAAAACAGCAGTGCTAAAATGTCCCCATTACATACAATTCATGAATAAAATGCATTTCCTGCAGAGGTTTCTTGCTAAATTTTTGAAAAGTATGTCTGCTTGTTTAACATACAGTAGGGCCTTGCTTTATGGTGTTTCACTATGGGCATTTCAAATTATGACCAAAACTCGTTATATGACTCTTCCCCCCCCCCTGATTTGCTAATATGGCCTCCACGTGCCAACGTTTGTTTACATGCTCCATGAGCTCTGCGTCTCTCCGTTATGTCTGGAAACTTTCCAAAAATTTCAAGTGTTTTATAGTTATTGCATATTTTACAGGGATTCTGATAATTATACTTATGTGTACCTGTACCTAAATAAACTTACACACTGTGCTGGCATACAGGTACACATTAAAATCACTAATATTGTCTCACTAGTCTTGATGCCATATTAATAATAATGATAATAATAATACTAATACGTAATAATAATCATTCTGGGGCAAATTAAATGTTGCATATTACGTTAATATAGACATTTGTCATTAATCCATCTACGATATTTTTTTCAAAATTTAATAAGAAACATGCTACATAACATATAAACATGATACATACACCCACAGTATAATAAATCTGACAGGTAAACTCCAGGTAAATATAAGATGTGGTAGTCAGTCAGATTGTCGGAGTGATGGCAAGAATTACGTTTTCTTTAGTCCAACACCAGAGAAAATGTGTACACTATAGTATTACTGTGGGTAACTATAAAAAAAAAAACATTCCTTTTGTATGCCTTCACCCGTAGCTATTTATTCTACTACACTAATGTGAAGATAACTTGTACACAATGTAAGTGTTTGTATTGTGGGGTAAATGCTTTACCAACTCATGCAAATGTACATATATGAAGCAAAAGCAGACAGGTATTTTGTCTGAACGAGTGCCTCCCCTTACGCATTTGCCTGTTTACATTCTTGGCATCTCTCTCTTTCTTCCTCATTTACTCATTCTCTCTCACTTACTCATTCTCTCTGGTTTACTTGTTCTCCTTCATTTACTTGTTCTCTCTCGTTTATGATGGCATCTAAGGAAGGTGTCAAAAATGATTAACCCTTTCAGGGTCCGTCCCGTAGATCTACGGCTTTACGTTCAGGGTCCAAACCGTAGATCTACGTCATGAGCTCAGCTCACTCTGATAAACTGTGAGTGGTACATTTGGGCCTAGATATGAGAGAATACATCTATGTGGTATGTGTGCACCACATAAAACAAATCCTGCAGCACAATGTGTATAATGAGAGAAAAAAAACTGAGACCATGATTTTCGATTAAAACAGCGACTTTGCAGTGTTTTTTCGTATGTTTTTTGTAGTTGTATTTGCAATTTCTTGGTCTCATTTGATAGAATGGAAGACATATTACAGAAATAGAGATGATTTTGATTGGTTTTAGCACTGGAAATGGCTTGAAACTGAGCTCAAAGTAGCGGAAATGTTAAATTTTTGCTGATGTTCAAGAGTAAACAAACGGCCTCACACGTCTAATACACGCCAGCTGGTGGGTCTAATATACATTCACAAATGTGGTGATGATATTTATACAATTATTACAATATTGCATAACAGTAAATCTTCTATTTTTTGGTGTGAATAAAAATTCATGTGAATAAAAAATCAAAATGGAATCTATTTGTAAAGCCTCAAAACGTAACTAATGAACAGAGGAAATGTTAGTTTAGTGCCAGGAATACCTACATTGTTTATTCTGGACCCTATTTTGAAATTGGAATATTTTAAACTTTGTGTTAAATTGGCCAAATTACCAACTTCCGATCACTTTATCTTGTAGTTGAAACAGTTGACTTGGCGATTTCTTGTGCTCTATCGATAGAAGTAATACTAGTGAAATAGCTAAGAATTTGGTCAACTGGAATAATGTAATTGGCCTAAAATGGGAGTCAAAGTCTGCAAAATCGCCGATTCGTAAATATCGCTGACACATCAAAATTCGCGAGAGCATAATTTTGTCAATTTTCCATCAAATTTCGTACCTTTTGTTTTATTACCTTCACAAAAAGATTCTCAAGCATTTCATAAGAAAAAATAACTAATTTTTTTTTTTTAAATTCTTGGACACTGGGGCACCACTTCACATTTTGGCCTTGGACCCTGAAGGGGTTAAACTAAGTGAACAAGGTAAGTCGATGGTAATAATAATAATAATCGCTTTGGGGTGCTTTAAATTTAAGTTATATATTTTGTGTAGGTGTAGTAGCTACCACACCTGACTTCATACAATAAATACAACTCATCTTGACCTACAAATATTTTAAGTACAGTAATGAATATACTGTGTATGTATTTTACTTTTTATTGCTTTTAATGCCTAGTTCTACTGTTAACTTTATATATGTTAGTGTAAACTTGTTTTATTTTTTTTTTTTTTTTATTATCACACTGGCCGATTCCCACCAAGGCAGGGTGGCCCGAAAAAGAAAAACTTTCACCATCATTCGCTCCATCACTGTCTTGCCAGAAGGGTGCTTTACACTACAGTTTTTAAACTGCAACATTAACACCCCTCCTTCAGAGTGCAGGCACTGTACTTCCCATCTCCAGGACTCAAGTCCGGCCTGCCGGTTTCCCTGAATCCCTTCATAAATGTTACTTTGCTCACACTCCAACAGCACGTCAAGTATTAAAAACCATTTGTCTCCATTCACTCCTATCAAACACGCTCACGCATGCCTGCTGGAAGTCCAAGCCCCTCGCACACAAAACCTCCTTTAACCCCCTCCCTCCAACCCTTCCTAGGCCGACCCCTACCCCGCCTTCCTTCCACTACAGACTGATACACTCTTGAAGTCATTCTGTTTCGCTCCATTCTCTCTACATGTCCGAACCACCTCAACAACCCTTCCTCAGCCCTCTGGACAACAGTTTTGGTAATCCCGCACCTCCTCCTAACTTCCAAACTACGAATTCTCTGCATTATATTCACACCACACATTGCCCTCAGACATGACATCTCCACTGCCTCCAGCCTTCTCCTCGCTGCAACATTCACCACCCACGCTTCACACCCATATAAGAGCGTTGGTAAAACTATACTGTACTCTCATACATTCCCCTCTTTGCCTCCAAGGACAAAGTTCTTTGTCTCCACAGACTCCTAAGTGCACCACTCACTATTTTTCCCTCATCAATTCTATGATTCACCTCATCTTTCATAGACCCATCCGCTGACACGTCCACTCCCAAATATCTGAATACGTTCACCTCCTCCATACTCTCTCCCTCCAATCTGATATTCAATCTTTCATCACCTAATCTTTTTGTTATCCTCATAACCTTACTCTTTCCTGTATTCACCTTTAATTTTCTTCTTTTGCACACCCTACCAAATTCATCCACCAATCTCTGCAGCTTCTCTTCAGAATCTCCCAAGAGCACAGTGTCATCAGCAAAGAGCAGCTGTGACAACTCCCACTTTGTGTGTGATTCTTTATCTTTTAACTCCACGCCTCTTGCCAAGACCCTCGCATTTATTTCTCTTACAACCCCATCTATAAATATATTAAACAACCATGGTGACATCACACATCCTTGTCTAAGGCCTACTTTTACTGGGAAAAAATTTCCCTCTTTCCTACATACTCTAACTTGAGCCTCACTATCCTTGTAAAAACTCTTCACTGCTTTCAGTAACCTACCTCCTACACCATACACTTGCAACATCTGCCACATTGCCCCACTATCCACCCTGTCATACGCCTTTTCCAAATCCATAAATGCCACAAAGACCTCTTTAGCCTTATCTAAATACTGTTCACTTATATGTTTCACTGTAAACACCTGGTCCACACACCCCCTACCTTTCCTAAAGCCTCCTTGTTCATCTGCTATCCTATTCTCCGTCTTACTCTTAATTCTTTCAATTATAACTCTACCATACACTTTACCAGGTACACTCAACAGACTTATCCCCCTATAATTTTTGCACTCTCTTTTATCCCCTTTGCCTTTATACAAAGGAACTATGCATGCTCTCTGCCAATCCCTAGGTACCTTACCCTCTTCCATACATTTATTAAATAATTGCACCAACCACTCCAAAACTATATCCCCACCTGCTTTTAACATTTCTATCTTTATCCCATCAATCCGGCTGCCTTACCCCCTTTCATTTTACCTACTGCCTCACGAACTTCCCCCACACTCACAACTGGCTCTTCCTCACTCCTACAAGATGTTATTCCTCCTTGCCCTATACACAAAATCACAGCTTCCCTATCTTCATCAACATTTAACAATTCCTCAAAATATTCCCTCCATCTTCCCAATACCTCTAACTCTCCATTTAATAACTCTCCTCTCCTATTTTTAACTGACAAATCCATTTGTTCTCTAGGCTTTCTTAACTTGTTAATCTCACTCCAAAACTTTTTCTTATTTTCAACAAAATTTGTTGATAACATCTCACCCACTCTCTCATTTGCTCTCTTTTTACATTGCTTCACCACTCTCTTAACCTCTCTCTTTTTCTCCATATACTCTTCCCTCCTTGCATCACTTCTACTTTGTAAAAACTTCTCATATGCTAACTTTTTCTCCCTTACTACTCTCTTTACATCATCATTCCACCAATCACTCCTCTTTCCTCCTGCACCCACTTTCCTGTAACCACAAACTTCTGCTGAACACTCTAACACTACATTTTTAAACCTACCCCATACCTCTTCGACCCCATTGCCTATGCTCTCATTAGCCCATCTATCCTCCAATAGCTGTTTATATCTTACCCTAACTGCCTCCTCTTTTAGTTTATAAACCTTCACCTCTCTCTTCCCTGATGCTTCTATTCTCCTTGTATCCCATCTACCTTTTACTCTCAGTGTAGCTACAACTAGAAAGTGATCTGATATATCTGTGGCCCCTCTATAAACATGTACATCCTGAAGTCTACTCAACAGTCTTTTATCTACCAATACATAATCCAACAAACTACTGTCATTTCGCCCTACATCATATCGTGTATACTTATTTATCCTCTTTTTCTTAAAATATGTATTACCTATAACTAAACCCCTTTCTATACAAAGTTCAATCAAAGGGCTCCCATTATCATTTACACCTGGCACCCCAAACTTACCTACCACACCCTCTCTAAAAGTTTCTCCTACTTTAGCATTCAGGTCCCCTACCACAATTACTCTCTCACTTGGTTCAAAGGCTCCTATACATTCACTTAACATCTCCCAAAATCTCTCTCTCTCCTCTGCATTCCTCTCTTCTCCAGGTGCATACACGCTTATTATGACCCACTTCTCGCATCCAACCTTTACTTTAATCCACATAATTCTTGAATTTACACATTCATATTCTCTTTTCTCCTTCCATAACTGATCATTTAACATTACTGCTACCCCTTCCTTTGCTCTAACTCTCTCAGATACTCCAGATTTAATCCCATTTATTTCCCCCCACTGAAATTCTCCTACCCCCTTCAGCTTTGTTTCGCTTAGAGCCAGGACATCCAACTTCTTTTCATTCATAACATCAGCAATCATCTGTTTCTTGTCATCCGCACTACATCCACGGATGTTATCTGCCATTTATATGCATTTATAAGTGGAAAAAATGGCGTTCCGCTTTACGATTTTCACGTTACGGCAGTAGCCTGGAACCTAACCTGCTGTATAAGTGGGACTCTCTTGTATACAATATCTCACTTAATTAAAAAAAATTCTAGATAAACAAGCCACAAACATAATTAGATACAAAGAATAATTACTTAGAGCTCCCCATTAGCTCTCTGCAAAGATCTACTGAAGAAATTAAAATGCTAAGCTATTTGGTAAAAATAAAATTGCCTAGATATGGCTTTGGAAAATGTTGCATAAGGAAAAAAAATAATAACTGAAAGACCTTTATATACAGTAGAGGAGTAGAGGAAAATTAGTGACACTACAGTAAGTAAATTCAAGCATACAGTACCTGTTCTTAAATGAAGAATTTAAATTGAATCCATCAGGTCCGTTGCTTACAATACCAACCCACACCTGGTGTCGCTGAACAATATGTGGATTTTCCAATTGTATGGGAAAAGGCACCTGTAACATTTGACATTAGCTACTACTAATTTATGCAAATGTGTACATAGTTATCAAGCTATGCATACAACTATTATAATAAATAAAGCTTGATAGTTACAATCCGGTAAAAGTAGGTCTTAGACAGGGATGTGTAATGTCACCACGGTTGTTTAATATATTTATAGATGGGGTTGTAAAAAAGAAGTAAATGCTAGGGTGTTTGGGAGAGGGGTGGGATTAAATTATGGGGGGGAATCAAATACAAAATGGGAATTTACACAGTTACTTTTTGCTGATGATACTGTGCTTATGGGAGATTCTAAAGAAAAATTACAAAGGTTAGCAGACGAGTTTGGGAGTGTGTGTAAAGGTAGAAAGTTGAAAGTGAACATAGAAAAGAGTAAGGTGGTGAGGGTATCAAATGATTTAGATAGAGTAAAATTGGATATCAAATTGGGGAGGAGTATGGAAGAAGTGAATGTTTTCAGATATGTGGGAGTTGAAGTGTCGGCAGATGGATTTATGAAGGATGAGGTTAATCATAGAATTGATGAGGGGAAAAAGGCGAGTGGTGCGTTGAGGTATCTGTGGAGACAAAAAAACGTTATCTATGGAGGCAAAGAAGGGAATGTATGAAAGTACAGTAGTACCAACACTCTTATATGGGTGTGAAGCTTGGATTGTAAATGCTGCAGCGAGGAGGCGGTTGGAAGCAGTGGAGATGTCTTGTCTAAGAGCAAAGTGTGGTGTAAATATTATGCAGAAAATTCGGAATGTGGAAATTAGGAGAAGGTGTGAAGTTAATAAAAATATTAGTCAGAGGGCTGAGGAGGGGTTGTTGAGGTGGTTTGGTCATTTAGAGAAAATGGATCAAAGTAGAAAGACATGGAGAGCGTATAAATATGAAGGGGAAGGAAGGCGGGGTAGGGGTTGTCCTCGAAAAGGTTGGAAGGAGGGGGTAAAGGAGGTTTTGTGGGCGAGGGGCTTGGACTTCCAGCAAGCGTGCGTGAGTGTGTTCGATAGGAGTGAATGGAGTCGAATGGTATTTGGGACCTGACGAGCTGTTGGAGTGTGAGCAAGGTAATATTTAGTGAAGGGATTCAGGGAAACCGGTTATCTTTATATAGCCGGACTTGAGTCCTGGAAATGGGAAGTACAATGCCTGCACTTTAAAGGAGGGGTTTGGGATATTGACAGTTTGGAGGGATATGTTGTGTATCTTTACACGTACATATACAGTGGAACCTCAAATATCGAACTTTCTTTGGTCCAGAAGGCTGTTCGAGTGCCTTTACCGAATGAATTTATTCCCATGAGGAATAATGTAAATTAGGTTAGTCCATTTCAGACCCTCAAAAATACACTTATAAAAGCACTTACAAAAATACACTTACATAATTGGTTGTGTTGGGAGAAGTTCGATTTTTGAGGTTCCACTGTATATGTATATGCTTTTAAACTGTTGTATTCTGGGCACCTCTGCAAAAACAGTGATTATGTGTGAGTGAGGTGAAAATGTTGAATGATGATGAAAGTATTTTCTTTTTGGGGATTTTCTTTCTTTTTGGGTCACCCTGCCTCGGTGGGAGCCGGCCGAAATGTTAAAAAAAAAAAAAAAAAAAAAAAGTTACAATCTGATTGTGTCCAAAAAGAAAGACATCATCACACTAAGGATCTAAATCACTATAAACAAGGAGCATGCTGCAATGGAAGAAAGGCTGTTCTTGTTTACCCAATTATACACACAATGTGATGGAATTAAAGGGACCTTTTCACCGCTCATGGTTCCTTTCTTTAATCACTAATATTGTGCCACAATTTTTTTTATCAGTTAAACTTTCTCACTACTGTATCTGCATTAGCCTTACAAATGTGAACCTTTCTCATTCTATTTCCCCTTATATTTTTTTTTGGGGGGGGGAGGGAGGGCAACTTTCTCAGGTGAATACTAAATCTACATTATTTTTAACTTCACTATTAAAATATAAATGAAATTAGAAATGGGATATTACTGTCTTGATATGCATTTCCAATTTTATCATACTGTATTCATCTATAGGAAATTGCTACTCATATAACATAAAATTCCCATCAAAATTTCTCTATAACACATCCTGGTTGTTAAGCAGAGGCTTACTGTAGTATGTACTACAAACACAGGAAATCATTAAAATATGACAAAATTACTTAAGAGACATTACATGACATGCAAGCTTTAGTACTGTCATTAAAATTAGTCAAGTAATTACACACATACTAAGAAACAGATAAATTATGGTTAAAAGTAAATTGCACCACAGGGCCAAAGTAAAATGTAATAAAATAAATTACAAATACCAACCTGAAGTTCAGCTGTAAAAGAATCAATTGGGCTTAAAGTTCCACTTGTCAATATGATACTCTTAACTCCAAGCTCTGACAGATCTTTCATTCTGAAATGAATACCAATTTATTCATGTTAAAAAAATTTAATTTTGGCCCTAATCTAAGATGTATTTCTGCATCAGGGGACCCTGAGGGTACCATCTGGAATACATCACACCTCAATCCCATTCATGTTCATCTCTCTAGAACTCAGGAAGTCTGTACAAGTGCTCTGTGCTCAGTTATAACATCCTTCACCACCACCTGCATGTCTATTATGACTGACATTTTCTGGGATCAGAGACTGACACTGAAGCCATGATCCTCAAAACAATTACTAAGCAGACACTTCGGTAAACCTTCCATACTTAGTCATTGTTTTAGATGACCTAAAATGCACATTTTGTACTTTTATCACTTATTCGTCTCACATTCAAAATAGCTATAGAGTAGACCCTCGGTCATCGGCCGTAATCCGTTCCAGATAGTCGGCTAAATCCAAAGAGGCCGAAAACTGAAATATTTCCCATAAGACAGCAGCCATTCAGGGAGGTACTAAGGTCCTACCAAGTGAGTGTAAAAATGAACCCTGTATTTGATTTACATGATGGTAGGACTGCTGGTGTCTTTTTTCTGTCTCATAAACATGCAAGATTTTAGGTACATAAGAACATAAGAACATAAGAAAGGAGGAACACTGCAGCAGGCCTGTTGGCCCATACTAGGCAGGTCCTTTACAATTCATCCCACTAACAAACATTTGACCAACCCAATTTTCAATGCTACCTAAGAAATAAGCTCTGATGTGCAAGTCCCACTCAAATCCAACCCATCCCACTCATGTACTTATCCAACCTAAATTTGAAACTACCCAAAGTCCCAGCCTCAATAACCCAACTAGGTAGACTGTTCCACTCATCAACTATCCTATTTCCAAACCAATACTTTCTTATGTCCTTTCTAAATCTAAACTTATCTAATTTAAATCCATTACTGCGGGTTCTCTCTTGGAGAGATATCCTCAAGACCTTGTTAATATCCCCTTTATTAATACCTATCTTCCACTTATACACTTCGATCAGGTCTCCCCTCATTCTTCGTCTAACAAGTGAATGTAACTTAAGAGTCTTCAATCTTTCTTCATAAGGAAGATTTCGAATGCTATGTATTAATTTAGTCATCCTACGCTGAATGTTTTCTAACGAATTTATGTCCATTCTGTAATATGGAGACCAGAATTGAGCTGTATAATCTAGGTGAGGCCTTACTAATGATGTATAAAGCTGCAGTATGATCTCTGGACTTCTGTTGCTTACACTTCTTGATATAAATCCCAGTAATCTATTTGCCTTATTATGTACACTTAGGCATTGCTGTCTTGGTTTAAGGTTGCTGCTTACCATAACCCCCAAGTCCTTTTCGCAATCTGTATGGCTAAGTTCTACATTATTTAACTTATAAGTGCTAGGGTTATGGACACTCCCGAGCTTCAGAACCTTGCATTTATCTACATTGAACTGCATCTGCCACTTTTCTGACCAAGAGTAGAGTTTGTCTAAATCCTCCTGAAGTTCCCTAACATCTACGTTTGAATCAATTATCCTACCTATCTTCGTGTCATCGGCGAATTTGCTCATATCACTACTAATTCCTTCATCAAGATCATTGATATATATTATAAACAACAACGGGCCCAAGACTGATTCCTGAGGAACGTCTTGCTACTTCTACTTACACTTACGTCACACTACACATACATGTACATGTTTATTGTATACACACTCATCTGAGTTTTCTTTGATTTTATCTTAACCCTTTCAGGGTCTGTGCTGTAGATCTACGGGTTTACATTGAGGGTCCAAACCGTAGATCTACGCCATGAGCTCAGCTCACTCTGATGAGCTGTGAGGAGTAAATTTGGGTCAAGATATGAGAGAATACATCTATATGGTATGTGTGCACCACATAAAACAAATCCTGCAGCACACAGTGCATAATGAGAGAAAAAAAACGAGACCATAATTTTCGATTAAAACAGCAACTTTGCAGTGTTTTTTCGTATGCTTTTCATAGTTGTATTTGAGATTTCTTGATCTCATTTGATAGAATGGAAGATATATTACAGAAATAGAGATGATTTTGATTGGTTTTAGTATGGGAAATGGCCTGAAACGGAGCTCAAAGTAGTGGAAATGTTAAATTTTTGCTGATGTTCAAGGGTAAACAAATGAACTCACATGTCTAATACACGCCAGCTGGTGGGTCTAACATACATTCACAAATGTGGTGACATTATTTAAACAATTATTACAATATTGCATAACAGTAAATATTCTATTTTTTTGGTTTGAATAAAAATTCATTATGTGAATAAAAAATCAAAATGGAATTCATTTGTAAAGCCTGAAAACGTAATTAATGAACAGAAGAAATGTTAGCTTAGTGCCAGGAATGCCTGCATTGTTTATTCTGAACCCTATTTTGAAATTGGAATATTCTGAACTTTGCATTAACCCTTTGACTGTTTCAGGCCCCTTTATGAAACTGTCATTCTATGTTGCTCAATTTTTGAAAAAAAAAAAATTATTTTTTCTTATGAAATGATAGAGAATCTTTCCCCGATGGTAATGACACCAAAAGTTCGAAATTTGGTTGAAAACTCATGGAATTATGCTCCCGCGAAGTTAGCGGTCTCGGCGACATATGCGTATCGGCGATTTTGCCGACTTTGAGCCCTATTTTCAGCCAATTCCATTGTTCCAGTTGACCAAACTCATAGCTATTTCTTTAGAACTCCATTTTATCTATCAGCTGAGTACAAGAAACCTCCCATTTAAACTAAATTGGACACCAATTATGGTCAGAAATTGGCAATTTGCCAATTTCAGCAAACTAAAAAAGATGCCAATTTTAAAATAGGGCCCCAGAATAAACAAGTAGACTTTCGTGGCACTAAAATAACTATGCTCTGTTCATTAGTCAAAATCTCTGGGCCCCTCTTATATTATTATTGCTTTCTATTTTGATTTTTTTTTCATAAAAAAAAAATACAAAATTTACTGTTATGCAGACACTGCATTATTGTAAAATGGTATAAAAAAATTTCAGTGCACTAGTGAAAGAATATTAGACTCCCCAGTTGACGTGTATTGGACGTGTGGTGTGATTTATTTACTCCTGAACATTGGTAAAAATCGAACGTTTCCGCTACTTTGAGCTCAGTTTCAAGGTCGTTTTCATCGTCAAAGTAATGAAAATCATCTCTATTTCTGTAATATGTTTTCCATTTTATCACCCAAGACCATGAAAACGCGAATACAGCAATAAATACTATACGAAAATACACCTCAAAGTCGGCGTTTTATTCCAAAAAAACGATCAGTTTTTTTTTGGTCAATACGCAATGTGTGCTGCAGGATTTTTTTTATGTGGTGCACACTGACCACACAGACCCATTCTCTCACATGTGGGCCTACCAGCTTTTTCTCGCTTGATTTGAAGCCGCTAGAATTATTGAGTATATATACGTCAGAAACATTGGCTCGTAAGACGTATTTATACGTCAAAAACAGTCAAAGGGTTAACCCTTTGAGGGTTTTCGTCGTACTAGTATGTTTTACGCGTAGGGGTTTTTGACGTACTAGTACGCATAAATTCTAGCGGCCTCAAATCTCGCGCGAAAAGGCTGGTAGGCCTAGGTGTGAGAGAATGGGTCTGCGTGGTCGGTGTGCGCGGTAGAAAAAAAATCTGGGACCCAGTGGTGCATTGTGGGAATGCCCTCTTAGTAAACAATGTCCACCATGCCCCGCAGTAAGAAGCCCTCAAATCCTCGGCGAATTGGGACACTTTTGTTCCCCCGTGACAGTTTTTAATATGATGGAAGTGCCAGTGAAGATGAGTTTCGTGGTTTTTGTGAGGTTTTGACCGAAAATAATGACCATAATATCGGGAATAGTTGAAGAAAACCCAGACGACCCTCAGCCTTCCCCCTCTGGTGCTGGCCCCCGTGTTCACGTTCAGTTGTTCCAGAACCCAAGAGGAAACTTCTATTTTCCCAAATCCCAGACCAGATGACAGCATGGGTGATGATAGTGATAGTGAAAATGAACTACAAGCTCTTCAAACTAGTTCCAGTAGTGATAGTGAAGTGCAATATTCCCCAGTTGAGCGTCAGTAATATACGACGAAATATCGCTCTGGAAGTGTGCCCTATGCTATTCCAAGGGAAGGAGTGTATCTCGGAGTACATCCCTGGCTGTACAACAGGAACAGACAGTGAAAATGACGAAGATACTGTTTGCAATTGGGATGGAAAATGTGCGGGTGGTAGTGGTGCCGGGGGTTGAGGCACCAGCAGTGGGCCATGCTGCCACCCACGCTGCCACCCACGCCGCTGCCTCACTGATCTGAACAAAGGCCACCATCCCCCACTCCCCCACCACACCAGCCTCCACAACCACAACCTCCACAACCACAACCACCTGTTCATTGTCCAGTACCCACCAGCAACCGCACCTGGGGTTGGCAGGAAGCTGTCAATTTTGTTCCAAATCCCCACCATTTGATGGCAGCCAAAATGGAATACGGCCATCTTGTGCACTTGGGAACAATGCCACTGAACTGGAATGTTTCGATTTATTCTTTACGAACCACTGATGAAAAGTATTGTCATGGAAAGCAACACATACTACGATACACCATGGCAAACACATTACTTTCACCAAATCACGTCTACACCAGTGGAAGGAGGCAACTGTGGCTGAGATGTATCTTTTCTTTGCCACAATAATGCTTATGCCACATGTGTATAAGCACAAAGTGAAATCTACTGGCAACAGACCCCCTGATTGCAACACCAGGTTTCAGTGATATAATGCCAGTGAATCGATTTTTGCTAATTTTTACGTATGCTTCACTTCTCAGATAAAACCAGGCCTGACAGAACTGACAGGTTAATAAAATTAGGAATGTGTTTGTGTATCTGAAACAGAAATTCAGTTACGCATTTTTAACCCTTCAGGAAGCTTGTAATTGACGAGTCTTTGATTCTGTTCAAGGAAAACCCCTC